ATAATGTACTGGTGTCTGCTAAAAACTATGTCTCTTGAGTGATTTGGCCCTCTAATAATTGCTTTTATTAAAACTATGTATTTAATCTCCTCTAATACCTGCTTCCATAGTAACTAAGTCATTTTATACTCACTGCACTGTCCTCTCACATTTTCGTCTGTCCCTTGGCGTCTCTTACCTTTGCTTTTATTTTTCCTCCCCGTTCTGACTCACTTTCACTGTGAATCCCATCTTTATTTAACTCCTCTTTTCATCTATTCCTTGATTCTGGAATTTTCCTCTGACCTCATGATTTGATGACTGCTTCCCTAACCCAGTGAATTGAGCATATTATGCTGGGAACAGCAGGCCTTGTTTTCATTTTGTCTGCGTCCACATGGCACCCTGTGCTGAACCGTGTGACTCCGAGAACACCCATTGGAGGAGGCTGCGTCAGGGAAATAGAGGCATAAATAGGAAAAGAAGATGGGGAATGGGCATTTCATTTCAAAAATAAGAAGGAAGAAGGAAACTGGTCTAATTAGACCTGAACTAACTAGCAACCCAGCCTCCAGGCAGATTTCCTGAATGGCTGCTTTCTGGGAGTGAGGCTTTGGAAGATTGGGGGATGTGGCCTTGGAGGGGCACAGTGGCAGATGGGAGCCCAAGGTCAGCTGCATGTCTCACTTTATGAGGTCATTGTTCTTTCCCCTGAAAATAAGAAGTTAGCTCCTGGATACGGGGCTCTGCCTTTTCCTAAATTCAGTAGAAGTTTCCCAACTCAACCTATTATCAACTAAAATGGATTTCAAATTATTGTTTTCTCTTAGAATATAAGAAGATACTAAAGATGTCTGTTGTCTTGAAAAGTCTAAGTAGCCGGAACTACTGTCTGTTCCATGGTACATGTCCTCTCACACTGCCAAGAGAGGGGAAGATTGAGAATTTGCGTAGGAACTAAGTTTAAGCAGTACTTGTTCGATTCCTGGACCCAGCTGAGTTAGGGAGCCAGAGGACCTTAGACGTTCCTACCATGGCTCTTCTGGAATCCTAACCCCTAGGGCAGGGGGCGGCTTACCTTCTGCGTCCATCTTTTAAATCTGTGCTTGGAATTGAAGCTAGCTCTGCCCCCCCCCCTTAAGATTTATTTATTTATTTATTTGAGAGAGGGCGCGTGTGCATGCGAGTGGGGGAGGGGCAGAGGGGGAGACCCTCAGGCAGACTCTCCCGCTGATAGCGGAGCCCGGGGTAGGGCTCAACTCACCAGTTCAGGGCAGATCACAACCTGAACTGAAACCAAGAGTCCGTGGCTTAACCAAGGGCGCCACGGAGGCGCCCCCCCTGCTCCTACTTCTTGATATAGACAGTTGTTTTAGGACTTTGACTGAAAGTACATGGGCCACGTGTAAGCATACATATCTATTAGCAGAAATAAATGACAGTGTTTACCCCCTTTCAGTGACCTGCTTAACATTATTGTACTGAGTCTACAGATAGTCTCATAGGTTGCTGATGTCTGCGTAGAACTGACACAGCCTTTCTGAGGGATAATTAGTAGTTTTCAAAATGTTCATGCCCTTTGACTTTGGAATCCGGTGTATAGGAAATCATCAAGATTTTGCCTAATGATTTTACTAGGAGATGTTCACTGTAGCTTCTCAGGAAACAGGGTAAGTTATCAATCATACATGAGACAAAATACTGTATAACCATCAAAAATATGTAAATGTGGCTGGGTTTTTAGACATAAAGGATTTTCATGAATCCTGTTGAGTAAATCAAGTTTACAACAGTAAGTGCATAGAAATATATACAAGAAAATGTGTACATATGCATAGAAGAAATCATCAGAAAGGATGGACCAAAATGATAATTATTTCTGGGTAGTGTGATTAACAGTCATTTTAATTAATAAGGGATAATTTTATTTTTCTATCTTCTACAAAGAACAGGTATTACTCATGAAAAAGAAGATTATTTATTTATTTATTTAAGATTTTATTTATTTATTTGACACAGAGACAGCGAGAGCAGGAACGCAAGCGAGGGGAGTGAGAAAGGCAGAAGCAGGCTTCCTGCTGGAGCAGGGAGCCCAATGTGGGGCTCAATCCCAGGACCCTGGGATCATGACCTGAGCTTCATGAAGGCAGACGCTTAACAACTGAGCCACCCAGGCACCCCGAAAAAGAAAATTATTTAGCATTGAAACTGGCCTCTGGAGTAGATAGATGGGGCAAGAATCTGATGAACTTGGACCAGCAAGATGCTGCTTTCATTGGTGTATCAGCAGTGACACAAGGGGCTGATGGTACACTGTTAATTCAGACAAAAGGGTGTGGGTACAAGGGACTCAAGAGTGGGGCCAGCTTGAGAAGAACTTTGCAGATTGGTTCATATTTTTATTCTCTTTACCTAAAATGTCCTGATATTGTAGGATAATTATTTACCTTTCATTTTGACTTTAGATAAACTCTATTTTTGTTTTCTCAAATAATAATATATATACAAAAGAATATTTACAAAGTTTAAAGTGTAGAAAATACTCATACCCGAAAATCCAGTGTCCCAGAAATGGAGCATTACCATTAGCCCTATAGAGATCCTTTGTTAAGTTCCCTGTTCCCATCTACACCCACTCCACCTCAGAAAATACCCTGGTCCTGAATTATTTTTACTCTAGTCTTGCTTTTCTTTATAATTTTATTTCTAAACAACATTTTACTTAGTTTTGCATGTCTTTGGTCTTCATATGGTGAGATTATATATATATATTTTTTAAGATTTTATTTATTTATTTGAGACAGAGAGAATGAGAGACAGAGAGCATGAGAGGGAGGCGGGTCAGAGGGAGAAGCAGACTCCCTGCCGAGCAGGGAGCCCGATGCGGGACTTGATCCCGGGACTCCAGGATCATGACCTGAGCCGAAGGCAGTCGCTTAACCAACTGAGCCACCCAGGCGCCCGAGATTATATTTTATTATTCTTTTGCAACTTGTGTTTTTCACTTAGTGTCTTGTTTCTGAGTTTCATCCGTGTAGGGTGTAGCTTACTCACATTACTGTTGTCAGTCGTGCTGGTGTAAATGCATCATGGTATACTTGTGCGTTCTCTGTTTATGGACTTTTGCATGATCCACAGTTTTTGCTACCATGAAAGTTCTTATTGGTAACCTCTGGTGCTCATATATGAGTGTCTCCGGTATATACATAGGTGTAGAATTGCTGGATGGTAGGGTGTGTGAACTTACTACATCATGTTAAGTTATTTTCCAAGTTATTTGTCTCTCTTTATATTCTCACCAGCAGAGTATGAGAGTTTCCGTCCTCCACGTAGTCGTCAACATTTGATAATGTCAGACTCTGAACTTTTTACTAATCCAATGGATGTGAGATGATTTAATTTGTATTTCCCTAAACATCAGTGAGGTTGAGCATATTTTCTTGGGTAGCCCTTTGTGATTTCTTCCTATAGCAAATCTGTTTTGGGTCTTTGGGGCATGTTTCTGTTGGGTTATTTCCATTTTTTAGCCTGGTTTGTAAGAATTCTGTTTATGCTGGGAACTCATCTTTTGCTAGTTATACAGATGGGAAAGACCTTCTTCCAATTAGTGGCATGTCTTTTAATTTCCGTATAGTGTGTGTGATGAAGAGACATTTGTCATTTTATTCACCCTTTCTTTCATGATTTGCCTTTTTTTGTGTCTTGTTTAAGAAGTCCCTTCCTACCTAGCGGTTCATAAACCCTATTGTCTTCTAAAGTGCTTATAATTTGATCTTTGTGAATCGTGTGAAGGTGTCCGATTTTATTTTTTCTACATGGATAACTATTTGTCCAGGGACAGCTTACTAAAAGATCCTCCTTTCCCCACAGATTTATAAATGCCAGCTCCGTCATAGCTCGTGTCCTAAGTGAAGCTTCCATATATGTGGGGGCCTGTTTTCTGGATCCTTCGGAGAACATACATGTTTGAGGTATCCAGATGCCAGGGGCTCTACTAGGGAACGTCGGTTTTTTCGACGACAGGCATTTTTCTCACAGACCAAGTCAGAAGTGGTGCTGTTCCAGGGTCATTGTGCGGCACAGTGATGTCCTCAAGGAGCCAAGTGCTTCCCTGTTTCCCTCCACCAGCATCAGTTCGTCTGTGATGTCTCCCCCCAGCCGCTGCTGCTCCAGGTTTCGAATCCACATGATTTCCACGTCCAAAGTGGAAAAAAGTCACAGCGCTGTCTTATCTCCAGCTTCTTTGGGGCCACCCACGTAGTGTGCATTCAAGTTGCTGGTTCACACAGTCCCGCTCAGGGTGGGGAGTCTCAGTGGGCTCCTTTTGCCGTCCACCCAGTGCTGAGTGTCAAGGCTGCTTGCCTTGCAGAGGCCTGTGGGCAGCGATGGTACTGATTTCCAGGTCACCTTCCTCTCGGGGTGCAGCCCTGTGGGGATGCAGAGCCCCTCTCCTCCTTGGGTGGCCCTAGGCTTTGTCCTCTGCCCCCTGCCCCCCAGGGGACAGTGAACACCGAAGCTGGAATTCGTCTGGGTGGCAAATGTGCAACTAATGAAAACTTCTTTTGTTTACACTTCTGGCTTCCCACTTTGACGTAGTTCTTTGGCTTCTTAGTATTCTTTACTTTCTTGGCAGCTCATTACACATTTAGAAAGATTTTTTTTTTCCTGGAATTTTTAGTTGTTTTTTATTTCATTTATTTAGTTTTTAAAGATCCCATTCATTTATTTGAGAGAGAGCACACACACGAGCCGGGTGTGGGGGGCAGAGGGAGAGGGAGAAGCAGGCTCCCCACTGAGCAGGGAGCCTGACATCGGGCTTGATCCCAGGGCCCCGAGATCATGACCCAAGCTGAAGGCAGGTGCCCAACCGACTGAGCCCCCAGGCGCCCCAGGAATTTTTTAATTGTTTTTTAGCAGGAGGGTCTGTCAGTGTATCTGGTTTATCTCCAGACTGTGGAGACACAAGTTGGCTAAATTCATTTTTTTTAAATTGCATTATGTTTTGTCACTCTTGCCTAAAGGTTTGTTGGAGACTGAACCATTGCAAGGACGAGATGAAGACACAGTAGCCAGTGCCGACTTCTCTAGCATGCTGTCTGAGGAGGAAAGAGAAGAGTTAAAAGCAGAATTAGTTCAGGTATGTTTAGTCATCTTACTATTGTTCTATCTCAGGATCTTAGGAGTTAGTGTTAGTTTTGTATAAGTCCCATGTTATAATTATGTTGTTTTTCATCTATCTATTTATTTATTGAGAGAGTGCCAACAGGGGTGGGGAGCGGGGCAGGGTTGGGGGGGAGAGAATCTTAAGCAGGCTCCACAACCCAGCATGGAGCTCCATGTGGGGCTCGATGTCATGACCCTGAGATCATGACCTGAGCTGAAATCAGGAGTCGGATGCTTAACTGACTGGGCCACCCAGGCGCCCCTGTTGTCTTTCATTTAATAAGATTTAATACATGATATATTGTAAGGTAATTCATTTTTTTCTAGGATGTTTTTGTAATTCTAGTTGTCTATTATCCACTGGTTGTAGTAGAAAAAGGAATAGCTATGTTGCTTAAGCAACAATGACAATTAGCTGTAAATATGCACCTCTTATTCTTTTTAATTTCACAATATTATGGGAATCGTAATCACTTACAGACCTGATGAATTCTTCCAAGACCTTGGTATAGGTACAGGGGCAAGCTCCTTTTTAAGAGCAGTTCTTGCTTTAGGTCAGAGGCTTAGCTCAACAAATACTTTGAAGTGATTTATTTTTGTAATTAAAAGTCAGTCATAGAAGCACCTAGACTTCTTAAGTTGTGTACTCATTTGCTGAAGAATAAAGTTCTGGGGGCAGAAAGGAAAGCTATGGTGAATTCAGGTTTCCTTAATTCTTGTGTAGTTGCTGTGGGCCTCTGGACTTAGAGGCGGGGAGGATGCCTGGCTCATCAGGAATATAACTTTTGTTACAGCCAATTGCTTACAGCACCCACTAACCGTTAAACACTTTGCTAATGAGCGGTTATGTTGTGGGAGGAAAGCGCTGGAGAAAGGGAGCTTTTCAAGGAGAAGAAGCAGTAGGGCCAGAGGGATGAGGCCCATATTCCTCCCCATTCTGTGTCCCTGGATCCGAGGATAGGAAGCTCCTCCTGGTCCAGCCAGAAGCAGGGCTCTGGGCTCAGTTGCAGGCTGAGGACACAGCTTTGAGCTCCACCTCACCCTCACGTGCTTAGTCCACTCCAGGCTCTTCAAGCTCTAATCCTCTGGCCGTGTTTGTTTAAGACAGCTTATAATAATTTTAAAGACTTTTTAGGTGCTTTCAGAAAGCACACCCAAAAATAACTTCATTATAAAATGAAAGAGCCGCTTGTTCTTCTGATACAACAGAAATTATTTCAGTAAGCACGGTGCCTCCGATCAAATAGCCTGGTTCTTGAGCCGGGTCTGTCTGTGGCCACTGATCTAGAACCACCCAGTCGACTTCGGTTGGCTGCACATGCCGGCACGCACCGACCAAAGTCAGCTGTGGAGGAAAATGTCCTAGCTTCGTGTTTTCTTACGGCCCAGAATTCTGGTTCATGACCAAGCTTGTTCATGTCAGTTGTGGTGTCCAAAAGTTATATTCCACAGACTGGTATCAGCTAACTGATTCTAAGCTAAAACTTAATTCCTTCACTGTTATAGTCCAAGTTTAAGTTTAGACAAAACCTCCGTAGCCAACCAACCTTCAGAAAATGCCTTGAGTTTTCTGGGTTCTGGGACTGCTGGGGTATACACACACACATATCAGTGTGTTTTTTGTGTGCGTTCATTTTCTTTCTTTCTTTTTTTTTTTTTTTTTAAGATTTTATTTATTTGACAGAGAGAGAGAACGAGAGCAGGAACACAAGCAGGGGGAGTAGGAGAGGGAGAAGCAGGCCTCCCGCCGAGCAGGGAGCCTGATGTGGGGCTCGATCCCAGGACCCTGGGATCATGACCTGAGCCGAAGGCAGAAGCTTAACGACTGAGCCACCCAGGCGCCCCATGCGTTCATTTTCTAAACGTTCAACAGTGAGCGTGCATTACTTTTCTAATCAAGAAAAAGTGAGCCTTGGTTCTAAGTGGATGCCCCTGTAATACGAAAAACCAGTGGTGTTGCCAGAAATTCCTGTCTCACTTGGCCACATTACTAAGCTTCCAGCACATCTCATTACTAAGACTCTTGAGCCTGACTTCTGAAAGTAACACCAGACCCCGTTACTATGTTCAAGTTACCAGGATTCATGTTCTCATCCTTTAGAGTGCTTCCTCTCTCTTATTTCTGGATTCTTCAGAAATGAAGAAGTCCTGCACGTTGCCAGAGTGGCTTCATGACTCCCAGAGGCACATGGGCGCAGCTCTGTGCCCCAGGCCCAGTGAAAAGCAAAGGAAATGTATCTTTGCTGTTTTTTCTCTTCACATTTCCATTTCTTCTCCCTCCACCTCAGGCCACCTCTGCATAATGCTCATCCTTTTCTTAAATCTGCCTTCCCTGCCCTTCTGCAAATGCATGCTGCTGTGTGTGTGTGTGTGCGCGCACACATACAAACACTTGCTCACACATGTGCATGCACACTCACATACCCACCCCAAACCAGGTTCTTTCAGATCACATATGCATTCAGATTAGCTCAGATGCTAGTGTTTCATTACAGCAAGGACATACAGAGAGCAATCTCTTCAGTCCCACAAGTGGCCCTCCAAAGACCAGAGACAGCTTTTAGATAGCCCAGCTTCCTCAGCTCTCCACAGACATTCTTCCTGGGCGCCTGGTCACAAGCAACCCCTCTCTGTGCCTGACGGAAGATCCAACTCGATCCATTTGCCACTTGGATAACAGGACACCTCACAGGCCAGCCTAGTAGATTGCCTTTGAGTCAGGCGATCATTGGTGGCCATGACCGAAAGCAAGAGCTTTGTGTACGAGGACTTCTTATCTCTGACTCCCTTGCTCACAAGGGTCTAGGAATGTGCCAGCGATCCAGTCTCCTCCTCAATGTGCTCCTCTCCTTCCTGTCCTCAGATTCTCCCACTGTCTCGTGACTATGTTGGATCCCTCCCTCCTGCTTTCTCCTGCACTATTTTGTTGCTTATATGCCCAAGAGGATGCCCTTATACTTCGGGCAAACTCATAACTGCACTCATCCACACAGCCAACATATTGTTGTGTGCTTCCGAGTGCTGGCAACAGAAGATCCGTCCCTGTGTCAGGAGACCTAAAATAAGCCAATATTGTCCAAAGGCTACATCTTAGATGAAGTTTACATTTTAAAAGAGGAATCTGTTATTAACACAATTTAGTCTTTATTATTGTGATCATTCAGTATGTGTATTTTTAAAAGTTTCTTCATTGTGAGGCCAGTATCACCTCTGATCTGCTGCAGTAGTCTATCTATAGAAGGTATACAATTAGATTTATAATGAACTTGAATTATTTTATAGCTTAAAGAAATATTTACTTTTTTTAAGTTTATTTTTTTTAGTAACCTCTACACCCAACATGGGGCTCGAACCCCATGACCCCAAGATCAAGAGACACATGTTCTACCATCTGAGCCAACCTCGTGCCCCAAAATATTTGCATTTTTAAATACCAGAAGTTGAATATGCTTTCTTACAAACCTTACCAATATATAAAGACATACCATTTTGTTTCAGCTATTTGTTCTCACTAGCTCCTGACATCTTTTTTGAGGTCTTTGCACATCTATTCTTTGGGTTTTTTTTTTTTCTCTCACTCCCTTTTTATTTTAAGATTTTACTTATTTGAAAGAGAGAGAACACAAGCAGGAGGAGGGACAGAGGGAGAAGCAGACTCCCTGCCAAGCAGGGAGCCCAACTCAGGGCTCCATCCCAGGACCCTGAGATCATGATCTGAGCCAAAGGCAGACGCTTAACAGACTGAGCCACCTAGGTGCCCCTCTCTCTCTCTGTCTCTGAATAAACTTGCTCACTCTTTCTGTGCTGCTTCCATCCTATTCTACTTTTACTTCACAAAGCCGCATGTTACTCTTTGTATTCCATAACGTTCATGGGCTTTTGAAAAGGATGAAATGTTGGCATCAGTACTGTAAATTTATGATTATATAGCCATCAAATACTGCCAGTGTCCTCTAGATAAAATGACTAAAGAAAAATAGGCATTAATAGGAGTGGGAAAAACACCAGGCAATATGATCAAGTAGGCAAAGCCAATTTTCAGGCTCCCTTCGTCTCCCTTTAGGCTCTTCTCTGTTCCTTTGGTGTGTGATTCCCCAGGAAGAACACAGTACCCTCAAGCCACCTGTGTCGTAGACTCACAAAGAAGTGCCTTAGGCTCTGGGCCCCTCCCTCTTAGTTGCCTCCTTCAAGGCCTTCTTCACTCTTTCTGGACTCAGTAGTGAGCAACTGAAGTGTTCATAATCAGTAATGTCTTATTGTAATACCCTTCTGTATTAGAGTCCTTCAGAGAAACAGAACCAATAGAGATTTTACAAGGAATTGGCTGATGTGATTATGGAGGCTGATAGTCACAGGATCTATAGTCAGCAAGCTGGAGACCCAGGGGAGCTGATGGTGTAGCTCCAGTCTGAAGGCCAGCAGGTGTGAGGCCTAAGAACAGCTGATATTACAGTTTAAATCTGAAGGAAGAAGAACAATGTCCCAACTCAAATGCAGCCAGGCAAGAAGAGTCCCTATTTCTTTTTTTTAAAAGATTTTATTTATTTATTTGACAGAGAGAGACACAGTGAGAGAAGGAACACAGGCAGGGGGAGTGGGAGAGGGAGAAAGCAGGCTTCCCGCGGAGCAGGGAACCCAATGCGGGGCTCGATCCCAGGACCCTGGAATCATGACCTGAGCCGAAGGCAGACACTTAATGACTGAGCCACCCAGGTGCCCCTAGAAGAGTCCCTATTAACTGAAGGAAAGTCAGCCTTTTTGTTCTATTTAGACCTTCAGCTGATTTGACGAGGCCCACCCACTTTGGGAAGGCAATCTGCTCTACTCAGTCTCCCAATTCAATTGTTAATCTTATGCAGAAACACCCTCCTGGGCACACGCAACACGATGTTTGACCAAATGGCTGGGTATCCTATGGCCCAGTCAAATTGACACATAAAAATAACCATTGCACTCTCTCAAGTTGTATCTGGA